CAAATGGTGGGTATATACAGGGTGGTCCGAACTGTATTCCGGAAACTTTGACAGCATATTTTGCAGATAGAAATAAGTAAAAAAAATCGTATAAATGTATGTCCTAAAACGCTTAGTTTCGGAGATACAGGGTCTAGAAGTTTCATTTTTTTTCGGTTTTTTCCAAATAATTTCTGAAGTAACGTCAATATTTCGATAAAAATTAGTATCTAAGAGTTTTTTGGCATGAGAAATTTGATTTTGATGTCAATATGACTTCTACTTGTAGAAGGCGCCACCTACATATTTAAGAGTTATAACGATTTTTAATCAAAAAAGGTCTCTTGGTAAAAAACGCTATGAGCAACCGTTCTCAAGATGTTTAAAACGAAAATAGTCAATACATGTCATTATTGACAAAAAATAAACATGTTGAGTAGATATCAAGAAACTTCCAGATACGAATTTTCATTCAAATATTGACGTTACCTCAGAAATTATTTGGAAAAAATCGAAATAAAAATGAAACTTCTACACCCTGTATCTACGAAACTAAGCATTTTACGACATACATTTATACGAACTTTTTGACTTATATTTATCTCCAGAATATGCTGCCGAAATTTCCGGAATACAGTTTGGACCACGCTGTATAACTAGTTTTTTTTTCAAACGTCACAAAAATACTAATTTTTCCGCCGTGATTGACAATATAAAAACGTCATTTTAGCGCCTATGCATAAAAGTAAAGATAAAAGTGAAGCACTTTATGCTGCAAAAGTACGAAAAGATATTATAAAACTGACATAAAGTGTCAAATTTAACGAGTGTAACCATAGTTTTTCGATATATGATTACTTACAAGGTATTACTCTGAAATCTTTTTGAAACTTTTAAAATTGTTTAAAAAATATGTGTCGGAGTAAAAATGACATTTAGTGCCATGCCTGTAATGCCAGACGTACAGCTTCACCACAAAAAGTATTATTTTCAATCCTAATAAAACAATGTACTATTTTTAGCTTCAAAGATATTTGCTTATGAAACTAAAATGTCCTGAGTTATTTGCCTGCCCATTACCTTCTGAGTGCGAAAGGACTTTCGAACTTCAGGCTCAATATATGCTTCCCAGCAGGGATCAGTGGGGTCGCAGAGTGTATATAATGCGTGTAGGTATGTATTACAGTCAATATACATGCTTGTATTTTGCTGCTTCAATAGAATGAAAATATTAAACCTATCTTTTTACTCGAGCTACGTTAGATCTATCAATTTAATAATGTGCATGGTGTAATCCTGTTTAATTTTAATTGATTGAAATTAAAAAAAGGTTTTTAATTAATTAAGAAATGTTTACCAAATTTAAACACTAATTTTACCATAATACACCAAAACACCATACATGTAGCAAAATAAAAACACTAAATCACCACAATACACCAAAACACTTTTACTTTTACACTGGACGCGCGTTTCGCTAACCATGTTAGCATCATCAGCAGATGATTATAAACTTCAGTTTATAATCATCTGCTGATGATATATATATATATATATAAACTTCAGTTTATAATCATCTGCTGATGATGCTAACATGGTTAGCGAAACGCGCGTCCAGTGTAAAAGTAAAAGTGTTTTGGTGTATTGTGGTGATTTAGTGTTTTTATTTTGTTGTTTAAAGGTTCCAACCCTCAACTGTAACCATACATGTATATCTCTGACTACACCTAACTGCTATTAACCAACAATTTGTTTTGTGTAGTCTGTGGTCTGTTTTGTTTAAATGTTTTTGTTTATTATTGATGTTGGGGATTTATTTTTTAAATTAATGTTATTTCAAGTTTATTATAGTAATTTTCTTAGCCGCGTATGGCAGAGATCATAACCCAGTGTTGCCACAAGCTTATTTTTTCATCGGGGTAGATTATCACGAGATAACGGGGTTAAATTGTTTCACAAAGTGGTAGATCTGCCCCGAATGGGGTAGCTGTGGTAACACTGCCGTTATCACTTTTCCTCTCTCTAGCTCGCGCGTCACGACCGTCTCGTGTGTCACGGCCTTGAACTTTTACCCCCAACGCGCGTAAAGAAGTTTCACTTCAAAAAAACTTTGAAGAAAATTATAATAAATCGAAAATAATAAAATAAAACATTAAAAAACGAAGAAGCATTATAGTACGAGAGCTAGCAACGTCGGGAAAACAAGTATTTTAAGACGTCTGGCTCTTTGATATATCTTTTATTATGCTCCCTGGAACAGCATGCGGCCCGTCTGGCTGCCGATACCCGTTGCGTTTACTACTGCGCATCCAAAGAAGGTCCTCTATTTTTTACTTAGCGCTTTAAATTCTATTATTGAATAAAAACCGAGCAAGTCTCCATTAGCTCGGCGCGTAGAGCTTTCGCCTATGACGCGAAGGTCAGTGGTTCGATACCGGCTGGGGGTGTAACTTTTTATTTTTTTCGTTTATATTCTGATAGTAAAGGATTAAATATTTGCTTTTTATCACCAAAACGGATGGCGCTTATGGGTTTATGATCCGTAGTGGGTATAAGTAGAATTTGATACTTTCATTTGTTTTGAAGGATTATTGTAGTAATTAATTATTAGGCAGGTTTAGGATGGTCTGGCTGCCGCGCCAGTAGGTTGCGTTCATTACTGCGCATCACATGTGTACAGGGTGTCCCATTTTTGTGCGTTTTTTGGGATATCTCGTTTATAATTTTATTTTAAAGATTTAAACATAATATATAAAAATTAACATTTTAATGCTTTATTAAGGTAATTTCTGACTGTCTTTCTTCAAAATATTTTTTTCAGCTGTTGTTTATTATTTTAATAATACTTTTTTTTAACAGATTGTTATCTAAAAGCTACACAAGTTTATTTTCAGTTCAGTTTGTTAAGATAACGATGGAAAACAAAATTATCTGGTTAAATTAAATTAAATAAAATAATAATACTTTCTAAACAAGATTGATTAATGTTAATGTGTAGAAAATGTACAAATCTAGGGGTAAAATATTTAGTTACATAAAAAAACTAGCAAAGGAATGTGAAAAAAACGCATCATTGTATCTCCACTCATAAACGAGAAATCCCAGATATCCCAAATCCCAAAAAACGCACGAAAATGAGACACCCTGTACCCATGTGATGCGCAGTAGTGAACGCCACCTACCGACGCGGCAGCCAGACCATCCTAAACCTATCTAATAATTAATTACCACAATAATCCTTCAAAACAAATGAAAGTATCAAATTCTACTTATATACACTACGGATTATAAACCCATAAACGATATCCGTTCTGGTGATAAAAAGCAAATATTTAATACTTTACTATCAGAATATAAACGAAAAAAAATAAAAAGTTGCAACCCCAGCCGGAATCGAACCACTGATCTTCGCTTCATTGGCAAAAGCTCTACGCGCCGAGCTAATGGAGACTTGCTCGGTTTTTATTCAATACTAGAATTTAAACCGCTAAGTAAAAAATAGAGGATCTTCTTTGGATGCGCAGTAGTGAACGCAACGTGTATCAGCAGCCAGACGGCGTGCACGCTGTTCCAGAGAGCAGAGTAAAAGATATATCAAAGAGCCAGACGTCTTAAAATACTTTCTCGAAAACGTTGCTAGCTCTTGTACTATTATTTGAAATACACCCACCCTGTACCTACGAAACAAAGCATTATCGGAGCTATATTGATATAAAAAATAAATCTTATTTTTACGTGAGAAATCTCCCCACGAAAGATGAAACATGTTTTTTGAAACACCCTGTATATTAAATTTCAGATAACTTCGATTCCTCGAAAGTCTCGATCGACGACATCTTCAGGACCAATATCCTCGCTCTGGAACAAGTGGTGCGCGAGCCCGAAACTCAAATAGCCGGCCTGGTCGTCATCCTGGACATGGCGGGTCTCTCACTCCAGCACGCCAAGTTTTTCACCCCCTACTACGCCAAACGGATGGTGGAGCTCGTGCAAGAGACCTTTCCCTTACGTTTCAAGGGCTTTCACGTTGTTAACAGCCTTCTACTTCGACGCCATCATGACGGTGCTCAAGCCCTTTCTCAAAGACAAAATTAAGAAGAGGGTAAGAGAATACGGTGCTTCAGTACGTTTTGTTTTGTTTTAGCGGGAACGTGTAGTCGGTTGTAGTTCTCTTGAGGCAAATTATTTTATAAAATGTTACGTTTTTTGCTTTCAAGTGGGTAAAAATTTTAGAAACCAGTACTTTTTAAACAATCAAAATTATAATTTCTTCCAAAGCATATATTTATCTGAATTTTTTTTTTCTAGGTAGAATAAACTGTGCATTGTTTGAGAGGGGGGTTTCTCAAGATAATCACCGCGATCTTATAGATCTATTGTGTCCTTTTTAAATTATTACTCAAAAATGCAACTTTTTTAAAATTTTGATGTGTACTTCTCTAGATTGGGTGATGTCCAGATTAGTCTTAGCAGTAAAAAGGACACGTTAACTTATAATACTTGACTTATACTTGACTTATACTTGACTTATACTTGACTTATACTTGACTTATACTTGACATATACTTGACTTATACTTGACTTATACTTTACTTATACTTGACTTATACTTGACTTATACTTGACCTATACTTGACCTATACTTGACTTATACTTGACTTATACTTGACTCATACTTGACTTATACATCACTTATACTGTACTTATACTTTACTTGTAATTGACTTATACTTTACTTATACTTTACTTGTAATTGACTTATACTTTACTTATACTTTACTTGTAATTGACTTATACTTTACTTATACTTTACTTGTACTTTACTTGTACTTTACTTGTACTTTACTTGTACTTTACTTGTGCTTTACTTGCGCTTTACTTTACTTTACTTGTACTTTACTTTACTTGTACTTTACTTGTACTTTACTTGTACTTTACTTGTACTTTACTTGTACTTTACTTGTACTTTACTTGTAATTTACTTGTACTTTACGTGTACTTTACTTATACTTTACTTATACTTTACTTATACTTTATATTTATTGATGCTTTACTTATATTTATACTTTATATTTATTTATATCTGATGTATGTTATTAATTTCTTTTTGTAGATATACCTTCATGGGAATGACATCACTGCACTCCACGCGTTTGTGTCCAGTGATATACTTCCTATGGAATATGGTGGCACTGATGGTACTTTCGATAATAAATCC